TTAAGCATAATAAACTAAAAAGCATAAATCTGTTTGCTTTGTTAGGAAGTTGCCGATTCACTCACTCCCTAGGGAACCACCAGTCCCTTTCCCACAAATCACTGGGAGAAGGGGTAAAACAATAAAGGGAGAGGTAAGCACATGCACAATAAAAGCCAAGATGGTGACCATAGAAGCCTGTCAGTCTAGTCTAGAAAAAAAATAAGATTGGATAAAAGATACAACCCTGGAGGATCTAGAGAATGGATTGGTTACAGGGTAGACCCAGAGCAAGCCTGCAAAAGTTTGAGAAGTTGATTTGTTAGTTTGAAAAGAGCACCTTGTCCTTCCCAAGCCTGAGCTAATATAATACCAGCTAACAAGGAGCTCTCTCTGCTCGGTAACATGCTTGGTTATATGTGCTCACTTGTTAATTTACACATTCTCTTTTCTTAGCAACCATGTGGATTTAGCAGCCAGCTCCAAGCAGACAGGAACAGCTCTAAACTATCTGGATAGGGACTGAGACTGCTAATGCTGGGCCAATGGCACAGAATCTTTGGAAACTGGCCTTTGTTTTGGCCTTAATAAAGACAAGATTAAACTTTTTCTAAGGCAGGGTGTACCAGTTTATTATGAAAGGATATAACTCAGGAATAGCCAAATAGAAAAGTTGCATAGGGCAAGGTTTTGGGAAAAGGCACAGAGCTTCCATGCTCTCTCTGTGTATCATTCTTCCCAAATCTCCACATGATCACCAACTCAAAAGCTGGAACCCTATCCTTTTGGGCTTTGTGGAGGCTTCATTACATAGGTATGATTGATTAAATCATTGGTCACTGTCTATTAAACTCAATCTCAAGCCCATCTTTCCTTTCCCTCTCCTAGTGGGGCTGAAAGGTCTAACCTTCTATTCTTAGGACACATATGGTCTTTCATTAACATAACAAAAGATACCTTTATAACCCTCATCACTTAGGAACTTTCAAGAGTTTTAGGAGCTCTGTGCCAGGAAAAGAAACTAAAACCAAATATATATTTTTTATTATAAATCACAATATCAGAAGCTCTAATCCAAAAGGAAAAGAATTATTAAATTGCCTATTAAAAGTTACAAACCTTTGTTAATCAAAACACACCATGAAGTAAGTGAAAATTGTTGCCACAAACTGTAAAAAGATATCTACAATGTAGGCACTGGCAAAGAATCAATATATAGAATAGATATAGATATGAATTAGTAAGAAACAAACAGCACAATTGTTAAAGAGTAAAAATTAAATCAGGTAAATTTGAAAATCTAATTGGCTTCATTGAGCAATTCATGAGTCAGACAGCATCCTATCTAGCAAGTAGAAAGGAGCCCCAAGAAACTATAGAATGTGGACAATGTGGAAGACTTTATAGGCAGAAGTTGGGCAGGAGAAGAGAATTATTAGCAAAAGAAAGGATTGTTTCAGGCAAAGTTACCTTCCTTTAGGGAAAGGCGAGGCACTTATAAGGCAGATTACCTCAACTTCTTTTGGGGGATAGAGAGGGAGCTCAGATGACTACCTCATTGGTACTGACTAGAAAATTCCAGATTACATTGCTGGAAAAGGTTGAAAATGCATAGGTTAAACATTAAGTATATGTTTGGTGTCATGGGCTTTAGTACAAGTGACTCCATTTGGGGCCTGTGGTTTTCCTTTGAATACATCTTAACATCCTTATTGATTCTAGCTCTTCAGTGCTTTTGTTTCCCCTCAACTACCTCCAAAATAGTTGAATATATATTTTTCTGTATGTATCTCTTGGAGTAGTATTCCTGCCAGCATACTTATCTACTGGTATTGTTACCAGAAAGGGGAACTGGCCCTAAGCAGGTCTGCCTAAGGCCAGAATGTAGTGTGTAGGTTCTTGACTTCGTAAAGGAAAATTTTCACAACATGAGTCCAGGTGATTATGAGGGAATGTTTATTAAAGCTTGGGACAGTAAAACATAAAAGGGCTTAGCATATAAGAAGCAACTGGAGAGCCTAGACTGAGCTGCCTTATTTCTCTGGGAAGTCAGAGAAAATGGGGCACTGGGAACAGGTTTAGGGGATTAGTTTGGGATGAGCAGCTGCGGCCCATTGCTACCCTAGTTGCAAGCCTCATGGGGTCCTTTAGAATTCAGGAGATACATGCCTGTGGAGGAGAAGATAGGGAAGAAGAGATGAAAGGGAATGGAAGGGGCTGCCCCAAGAGGGAGAACAAGCACTGGGTCCTTTGTCTTAAGGCTTTTATCCTTTCTTAAAGGCAGGAATCTTAGGGGAGGTCTCAGAGGAGGGTTTCAACAGAATATTAATCAGTTTTCTAGCTGTGCTCCTGTAGAGTCATGGTCCTCACTGATTGGTCAGTGTCAGGGCAAGGGGTCATTAGTGCAGGGCAGCTGGTCCTGGTGTCACCCACCTGGTTTTGCTACTTATCTGGGTCTGGAGCTGAAATATAACTGAGGCCTAGATGTTATAGCTAGGGAGGTGACCTTCTCTATCTACTGTAAATTGCTCTGCCAGTTTGTTCAACTATCTGTCTCAGTTTTCCTATTCCACCTGTCCTGGTTTACTGGCCTGTCTCGTTCCCCACTCAGAGACTTCCATTCTTAATATCTTTTGGAAGTGATGAGGAAGGATGATCTGTTTTCAGCAACTGCTTTCACTTCTTCTTCTCTATCCCCCACCCCATCCCCAAATGACAAGGGCTGTGATTTCTGTTTATATAGAAATATTTATCTGCCTGATCCAGGGGGAACAAGAGAATGGTATTAGAAACTGAAACAGAGAGGCTGTTAGCTAATTCTTCCAAAGTAGGAATTGGCTGAAATCCCTGAAGCATCATCATCTTGATATGGAATTGTATTATTCCAGAAGTGAAGTTGGTATATTGCTTCATATTTCATTGACTCATTTATTTAGTCTTGAAAATAAGTCAGTTTAATTAAATTGTTGAGTCTTACTTTAGGAGGGGGCAATACAGATAGGTTTTTAAAGTGAGACCTATATTGTGTAAACAAGTAATCAAGTATTTAATAAGATGCATGCTTGTGAAAACAAGAAAAAAAAAAGGTTAATGATCATAGCAAATTATAAACCAGTTTCTGAGTCTGTAAGACTGGCAGTTGAGAAAGCTTAAAGTTTCTTTAGCTGTAATAAAAGCAAACAGTGACAATCTGACAGCTCCTTTTTATCTGTAGTTTAAATGTCTTTGGTGATTCCATCAGGTGCTCAGGTAAATTTTGCATGGTTCACAATGCATCAGTAGTTCTCAATAATTCCAAGTCAAAGGATGGGAGAAAAAAATAAAACATTAACTTGGAAGATTAAAGACAAATAATTCAGGAACCAATTCAGTTCACAGGCAAAAACAAAACTTTAAAGAAAAACAACTGCACTAGAGTCCAATATACACAGTTGGGCATTGTAACTTTTACTGAAACAATTTTTTCCCCTAAAATTACCATCATTTTTGTTAAAGAGACTACATTAAATCCAGTTTTAATTTGGTCTTATTATTTGCATAAACACAACAAGAATAGCAATTTATTATATAGGCTCTGTCAAATCTACTTTGCCGAAATTTTACTCATAAGGAATCTTCAGATTGAGTTTTAGTCAGCCCCTCAGGACACAGAAGCCAAACCACACAGTAGCCATCAGACTTTGCTGCCTGCAATACATATAGTTTGGGTAGATTTCTCAAATTCTCAAGGTCCCCAAAATGTCTTGAGGTTTTTTTGTTTGTTTGTTTGTTTTTGCCATTTACTAGAAAAGCAACCTTTATTTATTACCTGAAAAGACTGCTGTGAACCATTTGGACAAGCAAGGTACCAGGCCATTTCTTCAAGGGGCTTTTATTACCTTTAAAGTCAATCTCAGTTTCTCAAGTCTTTCTGGTGACATCCAGAGTCCAGGCATGTCCCTCTCAGAAATGCCATTCCAGTCAAAGCCTTGATTAGTGAAGCCACAATTAGAAACTGGTTTTATGTGTCCTGTTATTAAGAGAACAGATTCTTATTGGATTTATGCAGATAAATATATTGTCAATAAAATAATACTCATTGAGAGTTGCCAAATTCTGAAGGGATTAGGTAGGAAGAAAAATATAAATGCTTCAATATGGCTTATAAGCATATAATTTACCAAACTGTTCTAGGGAAAAAAACCCACAAGTTTCCTCATATCTGAAAAAAAACATTAAAAATCAGAAATATTTTTAATAAAATCATAAAACTAATAATTATTCTGTTTCTTCAGTCCCATAAAATCAATCTTTGTCTTGATTCTTTATCAGTATTTCCATGAAGCCAGTTATTCCTAAGAGTTCTATAAATCTTTACCTACTTCAAAGAGATGACCTGCTTAAAAACCTGCAATTTAGAGTAAGTTCAGTCCTTTTCATGAATCTTTCCAAAGATTTAACATATTTGCAAATGCATCAGAGTAAAACAATAACTGTCTATAAATGACATAAGTAGAATGACATGGTTATAGACTTGATTATAATGCAATTGATAAAGAACTTTGCTTTTTTCTTTGTAAGATATAACATTCCAAGATAACAATTTCTTGGTAAATAATAATTATGAAATGACATAAAGAACAATACAAAGCTCATATTTTTTTCAATTCAGTACACAATTTCATTATATAAAGAACAGATAATATGCAAGATTTTAAAACATTGAACATGGCTCATTGGAGGTGTGCACTGAACACTGAAACACTTAATAAATGTCACAATGTGTGGATCACAAAGACCTGGAGTACCACTGCTGGATGCCTCCTATAGGGAACCATTACTCTTGGCTTGCCTGGTGTCACTGACAGAACATGGGCTACCCCTGAGAGCTCCCTGTTTGAACTTGGCTCTGAATCTTTGCAAGTTTCATTTTAGAATAGCCTGAAATTTCACCATTTTAACAAAATATATGTATACAAATAGAACATAGTTATTGTTATTATTTTATTTGGCAAAACTTCCAATGTAATTTTTCAAGCATATCAAATAGGCCTAATTAGTTGAAAAAACTTAGGAGAATAAATTCTTTTTGATGGGGGGGGGGGGATTGCAGGGGTCAGCACATCCAGAGTGCAATGAATACACCTCACCCTGGGAAAACCACCTTCGTGATCATAGTATCTTCCCACCAGGTGAGTATGAGAATAAATTCTTGAGATATTCCAGGGCTTAGTAGAATAACTCAAAGTCATTTCTCAGTTTAAAAACAGTATCTTAAAATTTAAGCTTTGGGAAAATTGTCAAATATACTTAATCAAAAGATCATATTATGACCTTTTTATAGACCTAGGTAAAACAAACATATTTTATGGTTATAATTTTAACAGATATTAATTAAACTTAAATCAGTTTTAATATCAAACATTTTGTCCAGACCACATGATTCTGTTTAAGTATTTAATTGCTTTATGACAATTAAATATCACACCCTAATAATGCCACCCAGGGCAAAAAACACATCACATAATACACAGACAGGTTTTTCCAAAATGGTGGCAGAGTAAATGGAAGATACACAGACCATCTCCCAGGACCATACTGGAATTACAACTAAAATAAAGACAAATCATTGGGAAAAAAGCAACAGAAAAGCAGTTGGAGAGGACCCACAAAACCAGGGTCAGGAAAAAAAAACAAACACTGAATTGAGCCTGGTAGGGCTGCGGCGGTGCAAAAAGGTGAATAGGAGCCAACAGACAGTAGCTGTTTTAGCTGTGAGCAGCTCGCTCAAGCTGAAAATCCCAAGCTGGCTCCACAACACAGAGGGCAAAAAGAGAGCACTAAATTAGCTACAGACACTCACCTTGGGCTCCAGCAGGGGGAGGGTAGACTAAACTGGAAATCTGAGGGGACACCTGAGATTTGAAAAGCGCTCAGAATTTTTGCTGAGTCATGGCCACACAGGATGGTGGCCATCTTGCTCCTTCCCAGATGTCTGTGGAGAAGCAGCAGCCCCTCCCTTGAAGATATAACCCCACTAAGCTGGGCCAAAGAAATGCAAATTGAGGCTCATTAACAACCAGCATCAGCCCCACCCTCTGGAAATCCTCTTATGCTGGACACTTGAGGGAGTTTTTCATTCAGCTGAGGGTTACAACACAAGGCTCCTCAAGTAACTGAGAACAGTAGCCTCCATCAAAAAGCTAGAAGATAACTGAACCTTTCCTGGGCTTGCAAATCTATCCAGGAAAGTAAGACATGACAGTGGTGTTGAACATGAGTCCTCTCACTCCTTCAAACCTAGTAGAGGGAGCCACAAACTGCAAAATACAAATACCCACAGGGAAATTTGCATGCTCCAAAACACACTGAAATAGCCAAAATAGTGAAACAAAGAAACAAATCCCAAATAAAAGACAAGAGACCTCTACTGAAGATGAGATAAATGAAATGTAGTTAAGTAAGTTATCAGAGGTAGAGTTCAGAGCCATGATCTTGAGGAAACTCAACAGCATGAGTAAGGACATCAACACCATGAGTAAAGATATAGAAACATTGAAAACTAACCAAATGGAAATGAAGAATGACATAGCAGAAATAAAGAACACATTGAAAGACTAACCAGCAGAGTAGAGGAAGCTGAGGACTGGGTCAATGATATAGAAGACAGGATAGAAAAAATCAACCAATCAGAAAACCAAAAGAAAAAACAATTACAAAACAGAAAGACAGCTTAAGAGAATTGTGGGACAACTGGAAACATAACAACATTTGCATCATAAGAGTTCCAGAAGAAGAAAATAATGAGCAAGTGTTAGAGAATATTTTTGAAGCAATAGTGACAGAAAACTTCTCTAACTTGGTGAAGGAAGAAGGCATTCAAGTTTAAGAAGCACAGAGAGCCCCATGTAAGAAGAACCCAAACAGGCCCACACCAGGACACATAATAATTAAAATGCCAAAAATTAAAGACAAAGAGAGAATCCTAAAGGCAGCAAGATAAAAGCAACAGGTTACCTACAAAGAAACCCCTTTTAGGCTATCAGCTGATTTCACAACAGAAACACTATAGGCCAGAAGGGAATGGTGACCCGTCCCGCAGGTCGAGCAACGAGGACTCTAGAGGGGGAGTGAGGATGAGGAGGGACAAGAGACACGAGAAATGGAGACAAGACAGGGCTCTGATCAAGTCTCGTTTATTCTGGGGAAATTTACACAATATATAGGGCAGGAAAAACAAGATCATTTGTTATCAAGCAATAGTTATTGAGTAACCACCCCAAGCACGGGTGGAACAAAAGACTGAGTAAATGGTTCAAAATGCAGAGATAAAGCAGAGATATCCTGCCTTGGGGCAGGAGATGGCAGAGCAGATTTTACTTAAAGAAATGTAGAGATAAAGAAATGCAGAAGGCAGAGATATCCTGCCTTGGGGAAGGTGATGGCAGAGTGGATTTTAACAAAATGGATGCCATGCAAAATGTCTCCCACAGAATGGCATGAAGTAATCAAGGTCATGATAAAAAAGGATCTGAACCCAAGACTACTCTATCCAGCAAGGCTATCATTCAAAATAGAAGGTGAAATAAAGAGGTTCTCAGATTTAAAAAAAAAAAGTCTAAGGGAATATATTAGCACCAAACCAACACTGCAGGAAATGTTAAAAGAACAGCTGTAATTGGTTGAAATAGGAAGAAAAATAGAGCCACCGTAAACTAAAATGGCAATGAATAAACACATATCAATAAAAACCTTAAATGTAAATTACCTGAATGCCTGGATCAAAAGACACAGAGTAGCTGATTGGATAAAAAAACATGACTCATATATGTATTGTTTACAAGAGACCCACCTCACAACAAAAGACTCACATAGGTTGAAAGTAAAGGGATGGAAAAAAAAAAGGTTCCAAGCAAAAGGAAAGGGAAAAGAAGCCAATTTCAAAATCAAGGTGATAACTAGAGAAAAAAAAAAACACCACTTCATAATATTGACAGGCTCTATCCAACAGGAAGATATAACCTTAGTAAACATATATGCACCCAATATAAGAGCACAAAATATATAAAAAATTTTCTGAAGGACTTCAAAAAAGAAATTGACAGCAATACAATCATAGCAGGGGGCTTCAACATCCTGCTGACATCACTGGATAGATCTTCTAGACAAAAAATTAACAAGGAAATGCAGACTCTAAATGAAACGCTAGATCAAATACATTTAATAGATATCTACAGAGATTTACACTCCAAAACTGCAGAATTCACATTCCTCTCAAGTGCACATGGGACATTCTCAAATATAGACCACATGTTATGGCAGAAACTAGGTCTGTACAAGTTTAAGAAGGTTGAAATTATTTCAAGCATCTTCTCAGATTACAATGGCATGAAGCTAGAAATCAATTGCAACAAGAACATGCAAAGACGTTTGTACACAGAAGAGCTATATAGCATGTTATTAAACAATAAATGGGTTGCCAAAAAGATCAAGGAAGAAATTAAAACCTTCATGGAAACCAATTAAAATGAACACACAACAACACAAAATCTATGGGATGCAGCTAAAGCAGTTCTGAGAGGGAGGTTCATAGCACTATAGGCCTACCTCAAGAAACAAGAAAAATGTCTAATAGACTCTCTAACCTCACAACTTAACAAACTCAAAAGCAAACAAAAACAAAACCCCAGAGCAAGTAGAAGGAAGGAAATAGTAAAGATCAGAGCAGAAATAAATGACATGGAGACCAAAAAAACAATTCAAAGGATCAATGAAACAAAGAGCTGGTTTTTCAAAAAGATAAACAAGATTGATGGACCCTTAGCTAGACTCACCAAGAAACAAAGAGCAAGAACCCAAATACACAAAATCAGAAATGAAAGAGGAGAAGTAACAACTGACACCACAGAAATACAAAGATCGTTAACAACTACTATGATCAATTATATGGCAACAAATTTGACAATCTAAGCGAAATGGACAAATTTCTAGAAACACATAGTCTCCCAAAACTGGACCAGGAAGATACAGAAAACTTGAACAGACCAATAACAACAGAAGAAATTGAAGATGTAATCAAGACTCTCCCAGCAAACAAAGCCCAGGCTTGGATGGCCTCACGAGGGAGTTTTACTGAACATTCAAAGAAGAACTAACACCCATTCTCCTCAAACTATTCCCAAAAATTCAAGAAGAAGGAAGACTCCTAAACTCATTTTATGAGAACAGCATAATTCTAATTTCAAAACCAGAAAAAGACACTACAAAGAAAGAAAACTACAGGCCAATATCCCTGATGAACTTAGATGCCAAAATCCTGAACGAAATACTAGCAAATCAGATTCAGCAATACATTAAAAAAATTAGCCACCCTGACCAAGTGGGATTCTTCCCAGGAATGCAAGACTGGTACAATATTTGAAAATAAATAAACGATACACCACACAAGCAAAATAAAAGATAAAACCCATATGATCATATTAATAGATGCTGAGAAAGCTTTTGACAAAATCTAGCACCCATTTTTGATAAAAAAGCTCAGCATCGTGGGAATAGAGAAAACATATCTTGACATAATAAAGGCCATATATGAAAAACCTACAGCCAACATCATACTAAATGGGCAAAAACTTACAGCATTTCCCTTAAGAACAGGAACTAGACAGGGATGCCCACTTTCACCACTCTTATTTAGCGTAGTACTAGAAGTCTTAGCCACAACAATAAGACATGAAGAAAAAATAAAAAAAATCCAAATTGATAAGGAGGAAGTGAAACTGTCATTATTTGCAGATGAGATAATATTGTTCATAGAAAACCCTACAGACTCTATAAAAAATCTGCTAGATTTAATAAATGAATTTGGCAAAGTAGCAGGATACAAAATTAACATAAGATTGATGGCATTTTTATATACCAATAATGAACTCACAGAAAGAGAAACTAAAAAAGCAATTTCATTTACCATTGCAGAAAAAAAAAATTAGGATACCTAGGAATAAACTGAACCAAAGAAGTAAAGACCTATTTGAAAAAAACTACAGTACATTGAAAAAAGAAAAAAAGGAAGATATAAAAAAGTGGAAGCATATACTTCTTCATGGATTGGAAGAATTAACATCATTAAAATGTCCATACTATCCAAAGCAATCTATAGATCCAATGAAATCCCTATAAAACCCACCAATGAGATATTTCACA